TCTCTTCTTCGACACAAGCTTTTATTTTGCCTCCCATGTATTTATGACGCACATCCGAACATGTCCCATCTCCATTTGTTATCACCGGACACGCAAGAATGACCTCGTCATGGTGACATAAGAAACAAGTGTCAATTTGCGCATTATTCGATGGTCTTTTTTTCAAAACCTAAAAAGTGAACGAAATCTTAACTCCAATTCGACGGGAAAATGACAACAATAAGAGATGTGCGACTCTATAAAAGTAGAGGTCAATAGAGCCGCACGTACAGTTTCTATCCTCGTCTTGGTGTCGAGTTTGTCTTCCTTGTGCGTTACAAGTAAGAGCTTCCGTGATCAGAATACCTGGAGGAAAATTCTCCAGAAGCCGAATTTAAGCTCATTAGCACTACTGATTCACTGAAAAAAAGCATTGCGTTAACGTTTTTAGGTATATTTGGAATTGAGTGCGGGTGTGTGTAGAGCCTTGAATGTGGTCGTATTGGCAATTCAGCGTGATCATGGCTCGAGTCAGCTATGAATCAATCGGCCGCTGATAGATCGTGATAATTGTTGTGTAACCTCTGCGGATGAAGACAGATGTTAACACAAAACATGATATCATAAGTTGTGACTGATCTCGAAGTTCTCTTGTTTTCGTTTCGTTGGGAGGTTTAGATGAATGCCCGGTTAGAGGAAGATTTCCGAAAATGTGGGTCGGGTTGTGAACCTCTTATCCTATTCAAGACAAAAATATGTGATTTTGCCTGCTCCGGTCCAGACTTGCGCCAACATATGACACCGTACTTCTCAGACCAGACCTTTCATTGATACCGCTTATTTCAGATAATTCTTCCGTTTAGGTAAACAGTTGAGAAGGGCTCCAAATTCCGATAGGAATTAATTAAATCGCCCTTTGATTAAGGGGTGGGCTGAAAACTAGGGCCTAGGTTGTTACATGATACTCAAGATGTCGACAGTTGATCAATTTAACTCCATTATGTGATCTAAAAATATATTTTGCGAGGAAACAACCCCTTCACAAATACTGCAAACTCGCAATCAAATTAAATAATTTAATTACTATATATTTATATTTACAAAATATTACAAGTACGGTATATGATTTAAAAAATATATTTCTACCAGATAATTTAAAAAGAAAATATTCTGAGTTTCCTTTAAAAGAAAAGAAATATTTAGTCGCCAACACAAACAATAACTGCGTGATCTTAAGAAGGCTCGCGATTCAAATTTTAGAGCAAAAACTGTCTTTTGGGTTTTTCAACAAATCAAGGCTGAAGAGCTTTCCCAGCTTGTTCTTAACCTCCGAGCAGTTTTCACCTCACAGGGTATACGTAGTTCTCAGACGCCTAAAACGCGACTTTCACATTTAGCTCATCTTACTCAAGTCGTAACTGGTTAAGACCAGATCTTTTTTGTTTCACTGTACTCCGTATTCAGAGAGTCTGTTGTAGTGATGTTGTTGAGCCGTCCAATCTTTCATAACCGTTCTGACGTCGCGCGGAGAAGAAGCAAGCAGCCACGGCAGTGATAACAACAGCCAGCAGTATAACGGCCAGCGGCCACACCACATTGTCCAACACCATTTTGTTGTAGCTTTCTTTTGAAGCCTTCTTGCGGACCACTTGGTCGGGGTCTTTCGGGTTGTAAAAGCATTGTAGGGATGATCCAATAGGGCTGTCACTCTGGCTTTGAAACAACACCAACAGTTTGGAGTCCTTTTCTGTCTCGTCATGGCACTCTTCCGGTTCATAGGTGCACTGGAGATAA